AATCACCCCCCAGGGGGGATGTCCATGCTGCAATCCCTTCTCCTCCATTCTCCTCTTGGGATCTTGGGCATGCACGCACACGTGCCCAGTGTGAGTGTAAGCCACTGGGTCCAGGAATTGAACCGCGGTTGACTACATGGGAGTCTAGTGACATAGCCATTACACCAACTGCTGGGCCCACAGTCACTAATTTTTAAAAGTGCCAGAGAGGGCCTGCAGGCAGTGTGATGGTTAAGGGTGCTGGACTCCCACATGGCTGACTGCAGTTCAAGTCCTGAGCCTGGTGGCTTGCTTTCTTACCCCTCCCCGCCACCCCCCCCCACCGAATCTCTCGCTCTCTTTCTCTAGTCAAATGTAAATAAATAAATAAGTAAATAAATAAATGTTAAATAAAATAATTAGAAAAAAAAGTGCTGGAGAATGTTAGGTACCTCTCAAAAATAACAAGCCTAGGGACCAGCAGTTGGCATAATGGCTATGTTGCTGGACTCCTAGTAAACCACGGTTTGAATCCCGGACCCAGTAGCTTAAACTCATACCGGGTGTGTGTGCATACATATGTAAATAAATAAATGTTAAATAAAATAATTAGAAAAAAAAGTGCTGGAGAATGTTAGGTACCTCTCAAAAATAACAAGCCTAGGGACCAGCAGTTGGCATAATGGCTATGTTGCTGGACTCCTAGTAAACCACGGTTTGAATCCCGGACCCAGTAGCTTAAACTCATACCGGGTGTGTGTGCATACATATCAAAGATCCCGAGAAGAGAATGGAGGAGAAGGGATTGCGGTGTGGCCATCCCCCCAGGGGGTGATTTCTTGCTTTCTGTCTCTCTGTCTGTATCTGTCTTTCTGGTGAGTGCATGCACTCTATAGGAAAAAAACCTCTCCCCAAAATAAATAAATAGACAAGCCTATTATGTATTAATGAAAGACCTAAGATCTTGAAGCTATGTTAAGTGTTAAAAGCAAGCCTCAGAGCATTGTATATAACATACTATCATTCATGAAAGATAACCACAAATGTTCATTTGAAAACATGGTTTAGGCCCTATAGTAAAAATCTCTCTCAAAAAAAACAGGGACCAGCAGTTAGCGTAATGGCTATGTCGCTGGACTCCCACGTAGTCGACCGTGGTTCGTGTCCCAGACCCGGTGGCTTAAACTCATGCCAGGCGCGTGTGCGTGCGTGCCCAAGATCCCGAGAGGAGAAGGGAGGAGAAGGGATTGCGGCGTGGCCATCACCCCTGGGAGGTGATTTCTTGCTTTCTATCTCTCTGTCTCTCTCTGTCTATCTGGCGAGCACACGCACCTTATAGGAAAAACCTTTCCAAAAAAAATAATAATAAAATTTAAAAAAAAAACAAAAACATGGTTTAGAAAGTAATGCTAAAGTAAGGTGGTGAAGTTTCCTCATTTACTTGTTTTATCGATACAGTACCCATTTAACAGTGTTTCCATCATTCTTTGTGGTACTGACATAACAGCAGTGAGAGTAAGAACCTGAAGACTTTAGCTGCAGGAAAAAGATGAGGTGGAGTCCTCCTTGTACTCAGCAACAACAGTGTATGGGAAAAAATTCTATCAAGATAATAAAGTTCTTGGCTAGGAACACCTTTTTTTTTTTCCCCATAATGGCTGTTTGTATATTATGTAGGAATTCGATTACAGCTGTTTCACCAACTGTTAAAGAAATACAAACACCCCACTATGTACTTACACTATTTGAACATTTTCTTTTATAGTAGTATATGCATGAAGTTTGATTTGTGATATTCAGTACATTAGTGTAGCTTTGTTCCTTTTGTTTGTTGTGTTTTAATATAATTTATGATCCTGACGGAGGAAAAAAAGAAAATTCATGAGCAGTTTAGTAGTATAGAGAAAAGAAAATATTTGAGTAATGTCAGAGTGATAGTTAATGGTGAAGAAAGAATAAAAAATATTGTAAGGCAATTTTCATGTAAAGAACAAAAGTGGGCCCAGAGGGAACCAGCAGTTAGCGTAATGGCTATGTCGCTGGATTCCCACGTAGTCGACCGCGGTTCGTGTCCCGGACCCGGTGGCTTAAAACTCACGCTGGGCGCGTGTGCGTGTGTGCCCAGGATCCCGAGAGGAGAATGGAGGAGAAGGGATTGCGACGTGACCATCCCCCCTGGGGGGTGATTTCTCGCTTTCTGTCTCTATGTCTCTCTCTGTCTGTCTGGCGAGCGCACGTGCCCTACAGTGAAAATCTCTCCAAAAAAAAAAAAGTGGGCCCAGACACTTGGCATAAGTATTAGGGTGCCACTGCATGAAGCTAGAGTCGCATGGGAGGCCCAGGTTATTTTCCTAGACCCACCTCAATAGGCTGAGCATAGTAACATGAGCCTATTATCCTAGCTAGCTAACTGGGAGACTGTGGCAGCAGGATTATGGCGTGGTGAGCTTCTGTAAAACATTTAAATAAATAAATAAGGTTTATACGTTTCCCACAGCCAGCAGGGGGCATGGTGGTTAAGGCACTGGGCCCCACATGGCCAGCTGTGGTTCAGGTCCCAGAGTTGGTGGCATGCCCTGTAGCAAATTTTTAAAAATAATGATAATGGTAAATAAAATTAAATCATTGTTTTTAAAAATACCTTTTGGGCCCAGCAGGTGATATAGTGGCAAAGGCATTGGACTCCCACATGGTCAGCCGTGGTTTGAATCCTGGACCCGGCAGCTGGAAACTCATGCCAGGTGCAGATGCGTGTGTGCCCAAAATCCCAAGAGGAAAATAGAGGAGAAGGGATTGCAGCATGGCCATCCCCCTTGAGGGGGTGATTTTTCACTTTCTGTTTGTCTCTATCTCTCCTACTAGCACGTGTGACCTATGGCAAAAATCTCTCAAAAAACAAAAAACCTTTCTCTCTAATCATGGTATGGCTCCTTAGAAGAACAATTAGGCAAAAGAAGAAAAAAAAAGAAAAAGAAAAAAGAACAATTAGGCTGGGCCAGAGGAAATTTAGGGTAAGCCATAGCATCTTGAAGGGCTAGAAATAAAGTGCTTAAAAAAATTATGTCGGGACCAGCAGCTGGCATAATGGCTATGTCACTTGACTCCCATGTAGTTGACCGCGGTTCGAGTCCTGGACCAGGTAGCTTAAACTCACGTCAGGTGCATGTGAGTGCAGGCCCAAGATTCCAAGAGGATAATGGAGGAGAAGGGATTGTGGCATGGCCATACCCCCTGGAGGGTGATTTCTCACTTTCTGTCTCTCTGACTCTCTCTGTCTTTCTGGCAAGCACATGGGCCCTATAGCAAAAACCTCTCCAGAAAAAAAAAAAAAAAATTATGTCAAAAGAGACAGTACCAATCTGGAAGAATTCCTAGTCACCAAAACAGGAACAAATTGAGCAAGAAAATAAATTATAGTGACTTTGGATAATAACTTAGAATAAATATCTATGCTCTATCCTGGTATAAATAGCTGAATAGAGAAATACAGAAGAGAGAAGGGACAAATCTTCCTTACGCAAGAATTTTGGTTCATAAATATAGAAAGAATGAGGAAAAGAAATAAAATCACCATTAGAATACCATAGTAAAGGGACTAAAGGGTGGCAAAACAGTTAAAACACTACACTCTGCAAGGGAGTCCCACATGGGAAGGTTTCTGGTTCAAGTACTCCCAGAATGCACTGGGACACTCTTGCCTATGATCCAGGGCTGGTACAGGCAGGGGGTGGATCGTGTTATTCAGACCCTGCCTGGGGTGCTCTATCTCTCATTTCCTCTTTAGCTATCTTTATCTCTGTATCTCTAACTCAAAGAAGAGATAAATAAATTCAAAAATTGAATACACCGTCTTCCAGTAATTAGCGAAAATGAGGAACACAAAGGGAAGGAGGAGAGGCCCCCAATACATGTTCTCTAGGCCTTATAGAAAACATGGAGTTGTTCCTTTGGCAACATCCATGTGAATTTACAAGAAAGGTGATACTGTAGGCATCAAGGGAATGGGTACTGTTCAAAAAAGAGTGCCACAAATGTTACCATGGCAAAACAGAGTCTACAATGTTACCCAGCATGCTGTTGGCATTGTGAACAAACAAGTTAAGAGCAAGATTCTTGCGAAGAGAATTAACGTGCGTATTGAGCATATTAAGCATTCTAAGAGCAGAGATAGCTTCCTAAAATGTGTGAAGGAAAATGACCAGAAAAAGAAGGAAGACAAAGAGAAAGGGACCTGGGTTCAACTAAAGTGCCAGCCTGCTCCACCCAGAGAAGCACACATTGTGAAAACCAATGGAAAGGAGCCTGAGCTCCTGGAACCTATTCCCTATGAATTCATGTCATGATGGGTGTTAAAAATAAACTAATCTGTGGTCTATAAAAATGTTTGCCTTAATTGAGTAGAATTACGTTCCCTCCCCAAAGTTAATTTTTATTGGGCTCTAATTCATTTTGCAATATCTTTATTCAAATTTAGTATTTTTTTTTCACCTGAAAGATGTTATGTGATTTATACAACAAATAAAACTCAGTTGGGTCTCTTTGCCTCCGGTGCGCCACTGAAGATGTTGGTGTCAACATGGGCCACCACCCCGCCCAGTGTTACCAGTATTGTAAGAAGCCGTACCCAAAGTCGTGCTTCTGCCAAGGTGTCCCAGATGCCAAGATCCGCATCTTTGACCTGGGGCAGAAGAAGGCAGAAGTGGACGAATTCCCATTCTGGCCACATGGCATCAGATGAATATGAGCAGCTCTCGTCGGAGGCCCTGTCTGTGTTTGTTTAAACAAGGACATGGTGACAAGTTGTGGCAAAGATGGCTTTCATATCCAAGTGCGGCTCCAACCTTTTCATGTCATCTACATCAACAAGGTGTTGTCCTGTGCTGGAGCTGACAGGCTCCCCACAGGTACAAGGGGTGCTTTTGGGAAGCCCCAGGGCACTGTAGCTAAAGTCCACATTGGCCAGATTATCATGTTCATCCGCACCAAGCTGCAGAACAAGGAACATGTAATTGAGGCCCTCCGCAGGGTCAAGTTCAACCCTGGTCGGCAGAAGATCCACAGCTCAAAGAAGTGGGGCTTTATCAAGTTTAATGCTGATGAATTTGAAGGCATGGTGGCTGAGGAACACCTAATCCCTGATGGCTGTGGTGTCAGATACATCCCCAGTCGTGGTCCCCTAAGACTAGTGAAGAGCCTTGGACTCAGGGTTCATACTGTGCTCCTCTTTCTTCATCACAGTCACCAATAAATCTTAACTTCGGATCTCCTAAAAAAAAAAAAAACTCGGTTAGGAAAAAAAAATTGAATAAAATAAGATTAGTGAAATATTAAGGATCAGAGTATTTGCATAGCTTCAGTCTATTTCTCTTCCAAAATATGTATTAATTGTTGTGATGATTTTAACATGTGTCCACAAATTTCGTATTACACTTTCCACTAGGAAGTAGAGCTTAATTCTATTCCTGAGTATTGGGTGGATTTAGTGACCCACTTCTAACAAACTAACTTCAGAAATGGAAAAATAGTAACTTTATACTAGGAAGAACTGGCTGACACCATGTGAACTGGCCGATCAAGTTCACGTCATTGGTAGGGAGTCATGTTGATATCAGGCACCCTCATACGAGCAGTGGATGGGCATTTACCTCTGTGATCTTCCCCCAAAATCTAAACCCATTTTCAAAATATCCTGGAACAGAAAAAGAATATTAGTGGGAAAAAAGTGATGAGATACAGGTAAATTTAAGTAGCTCAGTGAATAGTGTTGCGTCAACTTTAACTTTTAAACTTTTGCTGTTGGGTGCGTGTGCTCACCAGAGAGAGGCATAGGGAGAGAAAGCTTGGCTATGTGGGCTCCAGCTACCTTAACAACCATGCCACCAGCTGGCCCTTAACGTTAATCTCTTCAAGTTATTTTATTCATGATGAAGTGCATGGACTCCTCAAAGACAAGACAGAGAGGAAAAGCACCCCTGGTGGGGGTCCCGTCATGCTACAGTTGCTTGTCTTCAGCCCGCTTTTTCATCAGGATCTCAGGCATTCTCCCAGCGTGATTTCAGGTGGCCAGGGATCTGAACCATGGTTGACCATTGGCTTCTAGCCCCAGAGTTGAGTTTGCTACCATTTTTGCCACCAAGCTGGGGTGCAGTGTTAATTTTTCAGTTTTAAGAGAGGTTTTTACTATAGGGCACAAGCACTCGCAGGAGAGACAGAAAGCAGCCATGCCATAATCCCTTCTCCATTCTCCTCTTGGGATTTTGGGCATGCATGCACATATGCCCAGAGTGAGGTTAAGCCACTGGGTCTGGGGCACATATGCCCAGAGTGAGGTTAAGCCACTGAGTCTGGGCTTGAACTGCGATCAACTATGTGGGAGTCCAGCAACGTAATCATTATGCCATCTGTTGGTCCCAATTTCTTAATAAGTATATCATGGTTATATATACAAAAATATTTACATTAGACAAAGCAGGATAAAAATTATGCAGAAACTTTCTTGTTCTGTAAATTTCAAATTACTTCAAAATGAAAGGTTTCTTTGTTTTTTGTTAGAGGTTTTTGTCTTAGGGCATGTGCACTAGCTGGAGAAACAGAGACAGTGAGAAGGAAAGTGAAAAATAACCCTCCCACGGGGGAGGGCCACACCACACTCCCTTCTCCATTCTACTCCTGGGATCTAGGGTATGCACGCACACACACCCGGCATGATTTTCAAGCCACTGGGTCTGGGACTCAAACTCTGGCCAGCCATGTGGGAGTCCAGTGATGTAACCACTACATCATCTACTGGTCCCCCAGACAAAAGGTTTCTTTAAAAGTCCTAGTGTGAGGCCAGCTGATGGCATGGTGATTACAGCCAGCTGCGTGGCTCTAGTCCTGAACCTGGCTTGAAAAACACACCAAGAGAAAACACACACATACACACACACACACACACACACACACACACACACACACACACACACACACCAGGAGCATGTGCATGCATGCCCAAATCTTGAGGGAAGAGTGGAGAAGGGATTTGCATGGCCATCCCCCGGGGGTGATTTCTCAGTTTCCCTTTCTCTCTCTCTCTCTCCAGTGAACGCACATGCCCTATAACTTAACTTAAAAAAAAAAATTCTAATACATTCCTTATATTCATTTGGGCATTACAAAATAAATAAATAATGTAGTTTAAAAATAAAATTAAAGGGGCCGGCCAGTCGTGTGGTGATTAAGGCACTGGACTCCCACATGGCCAACCACAGTGCAATTCCCAGACCTGGTGGCTTGCTTTCTCACTCTCCTTCTTTCTTTCTCTGATCTAATTGAAGAGTAATAATAAACAAACAAAATTAAATGATTCTTTAAAAAAATAATTTAAAAAGGAGGGTTGCCAAGTGGCATGGTGGTTAAAGGCACTGGACTCCCACATGGGTGACTATCGGTCAAGTCCTGGACTTAGTGACTTGCTTTCTCACTTTTCCTCTCTCTCTCTCTCCAGTCAAATAATAATAATAATAATAATAATAATAAAATAATATCTATATATTTAAATGAAGACCTTAAAGGTGGGGTTTTGTTTTAAAAACTAAGGTATGTCATGCTAAACATTAGAGTATTAGGCAATGTTTTTGTTCGATTCTTAGCAAGGTCAGTAGGAATTAAGGCTTGCCATGTTCTTAAGGATGGCAAAGAGTGAAGTCACACTGTTTCTTCACCTGAAACGGACGACTGCCTCGGATAGTAAAACGAGCATTTGCAACACCAGATGTTAGCTGATCTCTCAGTATTTCAAATGGAGTGACTTTTTTTAAATTGAAGCTCTAAGCTTTAGGTTTACATTTGTTATTTTCTTTCCCAAGGTATAAAGACCTAATGCCACATGATTTGAGCAGAGCAGCACTTACGTAAGTAAACATAGTTTCATTTCAGTTCTTACATTATTAAAGGCACTTTCTCTAGTTTTTATGCTTGAAACAGAATGTTCAATAGAATTTTCCTGTCTAGGATATATTAGTGCTTTTTCCTTTTTCTTTCGTTTGTGGATGTCTTAGCTTTTATGTGGTAAGGAAAAAACACTGGTTAGCTTTTACAAGATTAATAAGTTAATTCTACATTTTGGGGCGGGCAGATGGCGTGGTAGTTAAAGGCGCTGGACTCCCACATGGCCAACTGCAGTTCAAGTTCCAGACCTGGCAGCTTGGTTTCTCACTTTCCCGCTTTCTCTTTCTCTCTCTCTCGCTCTCTCACTCTGCCTTCTCTGGTCAAATTTAAAAAAAAAAAAGGTAAATGAGTAAAGTGAAATAAAACAATTGTTTGGAAAAAATAAAGTTAATTCATTTTAACTGTGTGAACTACACAAATGTGAGCAACTCATGAATGGCAGTGATCATGTTACGGGTTTGGCAGCGTCTTACCATGACAGTATTCATTAGTGAGTGCCCTGCCCGGCCACAGGCTAGATTGATCAGCCTAAGCACAATCCATGTATTTGATGATTGTCTTAGATAGGAACTAAAGAACTACATAAGGGTAGCGGAACAGATTGTGTATTAATAGATACTTATCTAGAGAGAAGCCTAGTAAGAGTTCTGATAATTCATGTCGAAGCCAAATCAAATGTAAGATTAGATTTGGTTCAGTGAGATCAAGATGATTGATGGGGTGAGAATCATGAACGCATGGCTGTCGCTAGGACAGATAGAACATGGAAGGCACTATCTCGTTGGTTTCCGTTGACAATGCCACAGCTACAATTCTTTCTTATTATGAGAAAAACCTTCAGCTGACCTTTCTGCTATATGTCGAAGCCAAATCAAATGTAAGATTAGATTTGGTTCAGTGAGATCAAGATGATTGATGGGGTGAGAATCATGAACGCATGGCTGTCGCTAGGACAGATAGAACATGGAAGGCACTATCTCGTTGGTTTCCGTTGACAATGCCACAGCTACAATTCTTTCTTATTATGAGAAAAACCTTCAGCTGACCTTTCTGCTAGTATTTTTTTTATTGCCATAGGACATATTCATTGCCAGAGAAAGAGACGTGTCTGACATGTTTTTTGGGTGGTGAGGCTGTGATTAGAACTGTGTAATTAGCCATGTAGGATCCAGCTGCCTTAACGTCGTACGCCCTACTGGCCCATCCTTTATGCCCATTCTTTATTTTATTTTATTTTATTTTTATTCAGTCATTTATTTTAATTTGATGAGAGAGAGACACACACAAAGAGAAGGAAAGTGAGAAAGCAAGCCACCAGGTCCAGGACTCAAACCGTGGTCAGCCATGTGGGAGTGTCCAGCACTTTGCCAGCCATGCCACCTGCTGGTCCCTGCCCATTCTTAATGTGGTTCAATTTCTCCTTTTTTTTTGTAATTTTTAAAAAGAATTATGCATTCAATTTTATTTATTATTCTTCAGTTTGACCAGAGAGAGAGAAAACAAGCTGCCAGGTCTGGGACTCAGACCACTTTGGACCATGTGGAAATCCAGCTCCTTAACCACCATGCTACCTGCCAGTCCCCAAGTTTCTCCTCTTTTTGTTAGACTTTCAAGAAAAAGTGAGAGGGACCAGCAGATAGTGTAGCAGTTAACGTCACTGGACTCCCACATGGCTGGCTGCCGTTGAGGGCACGACTTTTTTTTTGAAAATCACGTTGGGCATGTGTGCTTGCATGCCCAAGATCCCAGGAGGAAGATGGAAGAGATGGGATTGCAGCATGGCCATTCCCTTGGGCGCTGATTTCTCACTTTCTCTCCCTCTGTCTTTGTCTGTCTCTCTCTGGTGAGCACATGCACCCTATGGCTATAACCCCTCAACAAAACAAAACTAGCTCTCTTCCTCTTTCTCTTTTTTAAAGGTATTTTGCAAGTTCAGTTCTTACAGATTTGCATTTTTCTCTACGCATGCTTTCTCTTAAAAATTTCACCTACTTGGGGGACCAGCAGTTAGCGTGATGGCTATGTTGCTGAATTCCCATGTAGTTGACCGCGGTTTGAATCCTGGTCCCAGTGGCTTAAACTCATGCTGGGCGCGTGTGCATGCGTGCCCAAGATCCGGAACCCCACATTGTTTAATGTGGTTCAAGTCTCAGACCCAGTGGCTTAAAACTCACACTGGGCATGTATGCGTGCGTGTCCAGGATCCTGAGAGGAGAATGGAGGAGAAGGGATTGTGGCATGACCGCCCCCCTTCCTGGGGGGGGTGTTGGACAGGTAATTTCTCGCTTTCTTTCTCTCTGTCGCTCCAGCAATGGCGTGCTCCCCATGGCAAAAATCTCTCTAAAAAAATATTTTAAAATTTCGCCTACTTGGGGGCCAGCAGGTGGCTTAGTTAAGGGCACTGGAGACTCCCACATGGCCAACTGTAGTTTGAGTCCCGGACCTGGCAGCTTGCTTTCTCACTTTCTCTCTTGCTCTCTCAGTCTCTCTCTGTCTGGTCAAATTAAAATAAATAAGTAAATAAATAAATAAAGTTAAATAAAATAATTCTTAAAAAAAAAAACCCTACTTATTTTTTGATTTTTTTGTTGGTGACTACCAAATCTCTAAATTTGGCTTTTTAGATTCCTTAAACTCAGAATATTCAAAAAAAAAAAAAAAAGATTTTTTCCCCCAAATTCTGCTTCTTTACCTCTCTCTGAAAGTGATGATGTTGTGATCCCAGACTGTAAGCTTGCATGTTTTTTCTTAACTTTTGATTTTAAAAAATGTAAAATGGGGCGTGGCTTGATGGTTGAGGCACTGGACTCTCACATGGCTGACCACAGTTCAAGTCCCAGACCTGGCAGTTTGCTTTCTCACTCCCCTCCTCTTTCTCTCTCTCTCTCACTGTCTCTCTCTGGTCAAATTGAATAATAATAATAATTAATAAAATTAAATGTATAGTTCTAAAAAGTACTTTAAAAAAAGAAAATTGTCAAATGTATAATAACATTGAAATAATAATATGGTGACCACCCAATATCCCCCACCTGTACTAAATGATTTTCATGACTTCCCTTAATTTCCTGTATGTCTGTGTGGATTGTGCTGTTTGCGGAAAGCTGCAGATACATGACTTTTCAGCCCTATGTATGTCGGCATTTATATCTCTAGAGGGATCCTACCTATTAACCACAATGGCCATTACCGTAACTAAGATAGTAACAATGATTCTGTGATAACTTGTAATATCTAGTTCATTCTCAGTTGTTCTGAGAACGTGTAAAAAACAAGATTTTTTCAGACCAGGATTCCATCCAGGTCCACATCACAAATGGATTTGATTATTAGATTTGATTTGACTTGAAAAGACATACGCTCAGGCCAGCTGTCCCATAGATGTCTCACATCCTGGATGTTTCTTCATGAGGATTTCTTCTTTTAATAACTCTCCTGCCTGAATTCCCTGTTTAGTGGAAGTTAGGTCCAGAGATTAAACACTTTTTGTTAAGAACGCTTTGTGGGTAAAACGGAGTCTCACGTCACATGAACAGGCACGTGGGGGGGGGGCAAACCTAATCCCTTGTCGCGGTGGTCAGACTGCCAGATCTTTTATTATAAAGGTACACTTTTCCCCTGGGCGACTAGTAAATAATCCCTGCGGGATGTCTTGGCACCATGTAAATACTTGTGTCCTGACAACCTCTTACCCAGTGGTTTTTAGCAACTATTGATAACTTTAATAAGTGAATCAGTTATGAAATTGGAGATGACAAATTTATGATTTTTAAAATTCTCTCATGTTTTCTATAAAGAACAGCTTTCCTTTTCTTTTTAAATTGATGTTGAAGATTTAGGAATGTTTTATCTTATAGCCACGTTTAGTCAGGACTATTTTAGAAGCTCAGCTTTTCCCACATTTTATCTGTGGGAATTCCTTCAGGTTGATCCTCGTATCCTTTTGTTTTTTTGGTATGATATTTTTTGAGGTATAATTTGTATTCAGTAAACTACACAGATTTTATTTTATTTTTAGGTTTTTGCCATAGGGTAAGTACACTCACCAGAGAGACAGACAGAGAGAGGGAAATCATCATCCCTCAGAGGGATGGCCTTGCCACAGTTTTTTCTCTTCCATTCAGCTCTTGGGATTTTGGGTATGCATACACACTTGGCATAATTTTCAAGTCACTGGGTCTCAGACTCAAACTGTGGTTGGCCATATGGAAGTCAGCGCCTTAACCACCATGCCACCTGCTGGCCCCAACTAGACAGATTTTAAGAGTATAGTTTGATGAGTTTTGACAAGTATGTATGGTTGTGTTTTTGTTTTTGATACAGTCCCATTCAACTTCGAATGCTTCCTTAATTTGGGGAGAGAAAAACAAAAGATAAATAAGCTCTACTTTGTACTTTGCCTCAGACCTGGTGTCAGTCAGTTCTTTAAAAAACTCTTGTTGGGCTCAGCAGGTGGCATGGTGGTTGAGGCGCTGGACACTGCCACATGGCTGACCACAGTTTCAGTGCCAGACCTGGCGGCTTGCTTTCTCACTTTCCTTCTCTCTGTCTGTCTTTCTTTGGTCAAATTGAAATAAATGAATGAATAAATTAAATAAATAACTCTTTAAAAAAAAAACAAAACAGGGACCAGCAGTTGGTGTAACGGCTATGTTGCTGGACTCCCATGTAGTTAACTGCGGTTTGAGTCCCAGACTTGGTGGCTTAAACTCACGCCAGGCATGTGTGTGTGCGTGCCCAAGATCCCGAGGGGAGAAAGGAGGAGAAGGGATTGCAGCATGGCCATCCCCACTGGGGGATGATTTCTCTCTTTCTCTCTGTCTCTCTCTGTCTTTCTGGCAAGCACACATGCCCTATAGCAAAAACCTCTCAAAACAAAGCCAAAAAAACCCCAACTAACCAACAAAAGCTTTTGTCCTTGGACCAACTGTGGCAAAGTGGTTAGGGCATTGGACACTACATAGCCGGCTGCACAGTTGAGTTCCAGACCTCGTGGCTTGACAGTCACTGTGGGTGCATGTGCATACCTGCCCAAAATCTCAAAAGGGGGGAGAAATGGAGGAGGGATTGCAGTGTGACCAATCCCCTGTGGGCGGTGCTCTCTCACTTCCGCCCTCTCCTGTTATCTCCCTGTCTCCAGTGACTGCAATTGCCCTTTTGAAAATTGAAAAAAAAAACAAAACAATAACCAAAAAACTGCTGTCGTTTTAATGGGAAATGGCATTTAGAAACCAAGTCTGAGTTCACGGTATGCTTGTTCCCACTGGGATGTTATTTTTCTAGTTTCTATCCATGGGCAGAGTAATATATGTTATTTCAATACTGTTTATATTGAAATTTCAAATGTAACATACCCAGGGTTTTACTTCATCTCTTTGATTTTATGTTACTCTTTTTTTTAAGGATTTTGCCTTAGGGAATGTATGCTTTCTGGGAAGAGACAGATTGTGAAAGGAAAGTGAAAAACCATCCCCAGGGGCTGGCCACGCTGTAATCCCTTCTCCTCCATTCTCTTCCTGGGTGCCTGGTGTGATTTCCAAGCTGCCAGGTCTGGGACTCAAACAGCAGTCAGCCATGTGGGAGTCCAACTGCCTTAACCAACACGCCACGTGCTGGCCCCATGTATGTTACTCTTTTTGTTGAAAACTTTGGTTTCTACTGACCTTAACTAATATTAATGTTTACTTACCTGTTTTATTCTGTTCTGATTTTTATTATATTCTGTTCTGTTCTAATTTTTTTAATTGCCAAAAGGCTCATGTGCTCACTAGAGAGAGACAGAGAGAGGGGAAGAGAGGGAGAAAGCATCCCCCAGTGGGTTATGACCTCCTCTATTTCCCATCCTGTCGGGATTTGGGGCACACAGACATGTGTCCAGCGTATTTCCCAAGTCACCGGGGCCGGGACTCACACAGTGGTTGGCCATGTGGATTATGTCTCCCTTAACCACTAGGCTGTGAGGCCTGCCTTCCAAATTATTTTTTTCTCTGTAGCTTCTCATTACTAATTAAGAACCAAACGGATTTCTGCTTTTAGGGGTTTATTGCATCGGACCAATGTCCCAAAGGAAGTTGTTGATTATATTGTCTTTGGCACAGTTATTCAGGAAGTGAAAACAAGCAATGTGGCAAGAGAGGTGAGTAAACAAACTTTTTCTTTTTTTTGTTTTTAATTTGCCAGGGGACATGTGCACTCACCAGAGAGAGAGAGAGACAGCACCTCCAATGGGGCTTTGATCATACCACAATTCCTGCTCTTGCATTTCTCCTTTCTTTTAGGATTTTAGGCACACACACATATATCCAGGGTGTTTGCCAACCATGGGGTCTGGGACTTGGACTGTGCCGTCAGCCACATGGGATCTAGCTCGCTCTTTCCTTTTTTGTTTTTTGTCTTGGTATGGTTTTTGCCATATGGCATATGCACTTGCCAGGGGAGAGAGAGAAATCACCCCTCTAGGGATGATGTCCATTTTGCTTTTTCTTCTCCATTCTCCTCTTGGGATTTTGGACATGGACGTCAAATGGCTGGCATGATTTCTAAGCCACCGGGTCTGGGACTTGAACCATGCAGTCGGCCAAGGGAGATCCAGTTCCTTAATCTCAGTGCCACCTGTTGACCCCTAAGACTTTGACTTATTTTTAAATGTCAGCATTTTGCCAAGAACTAATTTTGAAGCTGCTGTCCGTTGGAGGGAGCCTTGCTCACTCATTTGTTCCTATTGACTAGGCGGCACGTAGGGCAGGTTTTAGTACTGATTCACAGGGGTTTACTTTTACCCCAGTTGGCGTAGATCCATGTCGTATTTATTGGGCAACCTAGTTAATGACAAGCCTTGGCACTTCTGTGACTTGTTCTTCAGGCGTTTCACAGTGTAGAGTCCAAACGCGCCTGAGCTTGCTTTAATTTGAAAGTGATTACTTGGATAAAGTTGGCTCCATGTCCATTTCCATGTGCGTGCTAAGCATTTTCCTTGTTTCTGGCCTGTGCTGTCCGTATGGTCGTGTTCAGTCAGGTCGCGAGGGTAGTAACGCCCTTCACTGTCAGCCAGAGAGAAGCGCGGAGCGGCAGGACTGTAGTAGTCGTTCTGCTTCGCCTTTAGCCATCATGAAGGTTCCAACCGCTGAAGGCCTGGCGTTTCTGCAGTTCACAGATATCAGCTGTGTGTTGTTAGGGCAATGAAGAATTAGAATACAAAGGGTTTTTTCCCCACCTCCTGAGATTTTTTTTTTCCCCCTGGACCTTCACATTTCTGACTGTGTCAAATGTAGCAATTTCATGAATATGTCAAACTGTTCATGATATAGTTTCAGTTTTTATATTCTAGAAATAACAAAGTGACTTTTTAAAGAGCACTTAAAAAGTAAATATTGGGGCCAGCAGGTAGCATGGTGGTTGAGGTGGTCAATTCCCACATAACTGACCACAGTTCATGTCCTGGACCTGACGGCTTTAAAATCACAATAAACAAACAAATAAATATTAAGACTATATTTTCCCTGTATTTCTGTCCTTTAAAACTAAAGCCATCATGTTTTTCATTTCCTGTTTTTTTTACATATTTTTAAAAAATTTTGCCAGAGGGCATGTGGGCTCATAGGAGATAGAGAAAGTGAGAAAGCCTCTCCCCATGGGGAATGGTTGTGCAGCTGTGCTGTAATCCCCTCCTCCGTTTCTCCTTCCTCTCAGCACCTTGGGCATACATGGACATGTACCTGGTGTGGTTTTCAAACTTCCAGGTCTGGGACTTGCACTGTGCTGTCAATCATGTGAGATTCAGCTGCCTTAACCACTGTGCCACTGGTTGGCTCGCCATAATGTTGTTTTTGTTGTTTTGTTTTTAAGAATTATTTATTTAATTCTATTTGTTGTTATTATTTTTTAATTTGACCAGAGAGAGAGAGAAAGGGAAAGCAAGAAAGCAAGCCGCCAGGTCCAGGACTTGAACTACAGTCAGCCTTGTGGGAATCCAGTGCCTTTAACCATGCGCCACTTGCTATCAGCCCACCCCTCACCATAACATTTTACTCTGAAATTTTTTCTGGAAATTTTACATTCATACAGGGATCTCAGCTTACTGATTGACGTAAGGTAGACTCTCCCGTCCCGCCCTAGGCTTATCAGTTATGCTGTGCTCCATGTTATTTTTGCAGTAGTCTCAGGGGAGGTCGAGTTGAGGGATATATGTTATGAGAAGGCCACTTTTTTAAGGTTTATTTATTAGTTTCTACCATGATTGAGAGAGAGACAGACAGAGGGGCAGGAACCCTCAACCGGATCTCGACACAGCCATCTCCCCAGCATCAGTGAGCCCCACATCACGAGCATGCATGGGTGCTTACGAAGATCTCCGGGTGGAAAACCGGCCCCTCCCGTGTAGGTCAGCCTTGCAGAGCATTGCATTTTACCCTGCGCCACTGTTTGACCCCAAGAATGTAATTTTGCAGTTGTGTGTTAGCTAAAAGTAAATGTAATTTTCAGCTGAAGAACTTCTTTAGGACCTATGGTCTGTATTATAATGTGAACATGAAATCCTATGAGGCTTCCAGTGTTCCCATGAGCACTGAAAGGACTCGGGTATTTTTCTGCTCTTCAACTTAACTCAGCGACATCTTCCTTCTTTCCCCTTAGTGCTTTGAGAGCTATTCATACTTTAAATAGAAGCATATGGACAGAGGTCACCCCAACCACGTCTATTTAAAAGCTCCTTCAGTCCTGAGAGTCAACTGGGGCCAAGGGTAACATGAGCTAGACAGGCTCTCACGAGGATCAGGCCACCCTGCGACCTGAGTGCCCCTCACACTTGCCCCACTGGGGAGCTCTCCTCTGGCCCTAAAGACTCGCCTCCCACTTCCTGTGGATTGGTGAAAGTTGAGAGGCTGATAACGGAGTTGCCAGGCAGGGGTTCTCTGCAAAGTCCAATCAGGCTACCTGGAAAGACCAGAATGAGAGCCCGGGGCATGTACACAGCGTAACACTTTACTGTTTCTATCGATTATGGTAAATAGTTGAAAAATAGTACAAGTGTGAAGGTCAAAGTCAGTTAAGAAACACTGAATCTATTTAGACTTGTGGAAACATTGGCTTTACCAAATCAGAGGATAGTTCATATTGTGAGAATAATTATGAACAGTTTTAGAAAATGGTCAACAAAAATGAATTCCTTTGTAATAGGATCCAGAATTTCATAGTAAATAGTGAATGAGGGGGGACTAGGTAGAATCGGGAGCTTTGTGTGTTTTTTTTTTTTTTTTTTAAGATTTTTGCCATAGGGCATCTGCCCTTAGTGGAGAGAGACAGAGAAAGACGGAGAGAGGGAAAGTGAGAAACCACCCCCATGGGGGTTGGCCATGCTGCAGTTCCTTCTCCTCCATTCTCCTCTTGGGAGTTTGGGCATGCACACACATACACTGGTGTGATTTTTAAGCTGCCAGGTCCAGGATTTGAACCCAGTCAGCTATGTAGGAATCCAGTACCTTAACTACCATGCCATGTGCTGCCCCACATTAGGAGCTTTACTTTAACTTTCTTTTTTTTTTTTTCATTTATTTCTTTGATTGTGAGAAAGAGACAGACAGACACCCCGACAGGGCTTTCTCATGCCGTGACGCCCTTCCCCCAATTCTCCAGCCAGTCTGGGTCCACAGCAACAGTCCCCACGGGTTTTAGGTCACCTTCGGATCCAAACCCACAGTTCAGTGTGGCTTCTACCACTGCAGGCTGTGTGCTCCCGCCTGACCCACTGAGGCGTGGCCACTACAGCTTTACTTTTAAAGAGAAAGTTAAATTTTAGGAAAGAACCGTTTTATCATTCTAGTTCAGTAATTCTTTATGTAAACAAAAGTGGAGGCAGGCATTGGTGTTTTTTTTTTTTTAAAGAATTATTTTACTTAACTTTATTTATTATTATTATCATTATTATTTTCCAGTTTTGATCAGAGAGAGAGGAAGTGAGAAAGCAAGCCACCAGGTCCGAGACTTGAACCGTGGTTGGTTGGCCATGTGGGAGTCCAGTGCCCCTATCCACCACGCCACCTGCCGGCCCCAGGCATTGGTGGTTTTTTGGCAGCATAATTACCCAATAAAATTATTGATGTCCTCATTTCATGTTTGCTCTTTTTTTAAGTATTTTATTTTATTTATTATTATTATCTTAATATACTATAGGGCATATGTACTCACCAGAGATAGAGAGGGAAAGTGAGAACATAAACCACCAGGGCTGGGACTCGAGCTGAAGTCAGCCGTGTGAGTCTAGCATCCCAACTACCATGCCATCTGCTGGCCCCTCACGTTTGCCTTTTACTGTGCTATCACAGAATCCCAATTTTGTGAGACATTGGAGGACCTCTGTTCTTCCAAAGGCTCTGAAATCACAGAGTACTCTCTTTTGAGTCTCCTGAGTGTTACCATCTGAGCAAGTTTTCTCCTTTCTGCTCGTAGGCTGGTCTGACCCTTATTTGTCAAGAGGCTCACTTGTGACTCAAGCAGTCCTCCAAGGTCGCTTTCATCCACTTGAGCTTCTGTGTATTTGGCAAGTTTTCCAATTCCACTTTTCATTGCTCCTGTAGAATACTGTCTGAAGTATCAAGTGGTTGGTGAGAGACACTATCAATGAGGAGAGATGGGCCTGAAGTGGGCAGGGCGGGAACTCTGTATGAATGATCAACTCTTTAGAAACATTTTCAGGGGCCAACAGATGGCATGTAGTTAGGGCACTGGACTCCCATATGGCCGACTGCATTTCAAGTCCCAGACCCAGTGGCTTAAAAATCATGCTGGGGGGGGAACCAGCAGTTGGTGTAATGGTTGTGTCGCTGGACTCCCATATAGTTGACCATGGGTCGAGTCCCGAATCCAGTGGCTTAAAGTCACTCTGGGCACATGTGCGTGTGTGCCCAAGATCCCAAGAGGAGAATGGAGGAGAAGGGATTGCGGCATGGCCATCCCCCCGGGGGGTGATTTCTCACTTTCTCTCTCTCTGTCTGTCTCTCTCTTTCTGGCAAGCGCATGTGCCCTATAGCAAAAACCTCTCCAAAAAAAAAATATCATGCTGAGGGGTGGGGGGGCAGGTGGCATGGTGGTTAAGGGCACTGGACTACCACATAGCCAGCTACAGTTCGAGTCCTGGACCTAGCAGCTTGCTCCGGGGAGTGATTTCTTACTTTCTCTCTGGTGAGTGCACGCACCTTATTTTATGTTTTCATGTTTGATGATGTTTGCTGTGTTAGTTTTATTACTGCAGGGACACAGATCAGGAGGATTCTATCCCTTTGTACATTTCCCCATTCCATCATCTGTGTTTAACATGTTTACTTTAAGTATATTTGAAATTTTATACAAGTTTAAATCAAATTATATGTTGATATTCTTGAAGTCCCTGAATAAAGCACTAGTAAGAAATTCGTTGAGGGACCAGCAGGTGGCGTGGTGGTTAAGGCACTGGACACTCCCACATGGCTGACCACAGTTCAAGTCCTGGACCTGGTGGCTTGCTTTCTCTCTCTCTCTCTCTCTCTCTCTCTGTGTGTGTATCTCTCTCTAGTCAAATAAATGAATAAATAAGTAAACTTAAATAAATTTTTTTTAAAAAAAGAAATGAGTTGAGAGGAGAGTGTCATAGCCTTCTGTGCCACAGTAGAAACCAGCCACCAGGAATTTCGTAGAGTGCCTGTTGATTAATGGCTAAGTAAAAATTAGTAAACTAATTTGTGTGATGGGCTTCATTTTTTTTTTTTTTAATTTATTTATTTATTTTTTTTTTTTGGAGAGATTTTTACTGTAGGGCGCGTGCGCTCACCAGACAGACAGAGAGAGACATAGAGACAGAAAGCGAGAAATCCCAGGGGGGATGGTCACGCCGCAATCCCTTCTCCTCCATTCTCCTCTCGGGATCTTGGGCACGCACGCACACGCACCCGGCGTGAGTTTTAAGCCACCAGGTCCGGGACACGAACCGCGGTCGACTACGTGGGAGTCCAGCGACATAGCCATTACGCTAACTGCTGGTTCCCGGGCTTCATTTTTTTAAAAAAATATTTCTTTATTTAATTTGAGTTATTATTTTTTTAATTTGATCAGAGAGAGAGAGAGAGAGCAAGATAAGGAGAAAGTGAGAAAGCAATCTGCCAGGTCTAGGACTTGAACTGCAGTTAGCCACATGGGAATCCAGCACCTTAACCACCATGCCACCTGCCAGCCCGATGGGTTTCATTTTATTTTAAATACTGCTCTGTAGACTGTTAAATGGGGATCCCCTTTTCTAATTCACCACACAGAGAAGAAATACTGAAAGCTTCATTTATAAGATGCATTTTCTTTGTAAGTGACCCCTCTTTGTGTTTTCCAAAGGCTGCCCTTGGAGCTGGCTTCTCTGACAAAACCCCCGCCCACACAGTCACCATGGCTTGCATCTCCTCCAACCAGGCTATGACCACAGGTATGTTTAAGTGGAAGTAGAAGGTACATGTTAGTTTTCCTTTGTTTTTTTTACATGATCACAAAAAACTGGTTGTAACAGGAGTGAATGATTATCACAGATCTCTGTGTTTTTTTGTTTGTTTGTTTGTTTTAATTTTGCTTAAGGGTGCATGTACTGGCCTTAGAGAAAGAAAGAAACATGAAGAGGGAAAAAGCACTCCCCCCCCAGGGGGGGTTTAGTTACACCGCAATCCTTCCTCCTCCATTTCTCCATCCCGTTGGGATTTTGGGCACACACGCACACACACCTGGCTTGATTTTCAAACCTCTGGGTCCAGTATTCAAACCATGTGGTCAGCCTTGTGGAATCTGACTCCTTTAACCACTGGGCCATGAAGCTGGCTCTCTACATTTGTGGGGGTTTTTTTTGTTTTGTTTTGTTTTGTTTTGTTTTGAGAGGTTTTTGCTATAAGGCTCGTGCGCTCACCAGAAAGACAGAGAGAGACAGAGAGACAGAAAGTAAGAAATCATTGCCCAGGGGGTATGGCCACACCGCAATCCCTTCTCCTCCATTCTCCTCTCGGGATCTTGGGCACGCATGCACACACGCCCGGCATGAGTTTTAAGCCACCAGGTCCAGGACTCGAACCGCAGTCGACTACATGGGAGTCCAGCGACATAGCTATTACAGTAACTGCTGGTCCCTGGGGGTTTCATTTTTTATTATTATTTTATTTTATTTATTTTTTATTATTTTTAAATTTGCTATCAGGCACACACACTTATTAGAGGGAAAAAGAGGGAGAGGGACAGTGAGAAAGCAAGTTACCAGATCTGGGACTCAAACTATAGTCAACCATGTGAGAGTCTAGTGTCTTAACCACCACATCATCTGCTGGCCCTTGTTTTGCTTTTCTTTTTTCGTTTTTGGAGAGGTTTTTGCTATAGGGCATGTGCGCTCGCCAGAGAGACAGAGAGAGACAGGGAGACAGAAAGCGAGAAATCACCCCCCAGCGGGGATGGCCACGCTGCAATCCCTTCTACTCTCTTCTCCTCTTGGGATCTTGGGCATGCATGCACACGTGCCCAGTGTGAGTTTAAGCCACCAGGTCCAGGACTCGAACTGTGGTCGACTACATGGGAGTCCAGCAACATAGCCATTATGCCAACTGCTGGTCCCTATTTATTTGTTTTAATTTGACCAGAGAGGGATAGAAAGAGAGAGAGAGGGAAAGTGAGAGAGCAAGCTGCCAGGTCCAGGACTTGAACCATGGTTGATCATGTGGGAGTCTAGCACCCTTAGCCACCACACCACCTGCCGGCCCCAAACTTGTGGGACTTTTAATAGCATCAGTTCATAGTGGTTCATAGTGGGAAAAGACTGGAAACCCAGAAGAGTTAGTCATCAGGTGCTCTTTCAGTAGCATCCAGGCCAGCGTGGGCAGCCTACCCTGTGGGCGGCAGGGAATGGTGTCAGAGGCAGTGACTGGGGCCTTCTCCACTTGGAGCAGCCTATGACAGGCCTAGTTAGAGCAGCAGAATACTCACTGGTGGCCAGGCGGGGTAGGGGGCTGCCTTACATCTCAAAACTAGACTTTCTCTGGTAGTACAGGGGAACATTCTCTCACAGGAGAGAAAAAATCTTTCTGAAACTAACACTGGGAGCGTATGTTGGGTCTTCAGAAAAGTCACGATGTATTTTTTCTATGCAGAAATGTGTCATGACTTTTCTGACAACCCAAAAGAATATGCAAGATGTTCTGGTTTAGAACATAATTTGTTGGAGAGTTGGTCCAATGGATATTTCCAGAAGTTGAGGTCCCTATGGCATGAATGAAATTGTTTTCCTCTGATGTGTTGAATGCGTTTTTAGTCATTAAAAATGTCGTGTTAATTCCTTCAAAAAAATAAAAACTCTTCATTACAGACGTTGTACAAAACTGATCATTGTTGTACAGCTTTTTGACCAAGAAGACTACATTTCAGCAGTATGTTCTTTTCTGGGGAAGACGTTCATGTGTGTCTAACCGTGCCCTGTAGGTGTTGGCCTGATTGCCTCTGGCCAGTGTGATGTGGTCATCGCCGGCGGTGTTGAATTAATGTCCGACGTCCCTATTCGTCATTCAAGGAAAATGAGGAAAATGATGCTTGATCTCAATAAGGCCAAGACACTGGGCCAGCGACTGTCTTTACTCTCTAAATTTAGATTGAATTTCCTATCACCTGAGGTAAGATGTGCACTCTGTCTAAATAAACACTTGTGTTTCCAGAGCATCGTTCTCCAGAAATTTAGAATTTGGTAGATTTAGAGTTAGGGCTCAGGTATTCTCTCTCCGTTATAGATTCTCTTAGTTAAAGGGAAGAATTCGTTAATTGGTCAAGGTGAAAAAAAAAAAGATAGTGGCTAGAACATTTTAATTTCTGGGGGCCAGCAAGTGGTGTGGTAGTTAAAGCACTGGGCTCCCACATGGCCGACAATGTCGTGAGTCCTGGACCTAGTGGCTTGCTTTCTTACTTTCTCTCTCTCTCTGGTGAGTGCATGTGCCTTATAGCAAATTTAAAAATAATAGTAATAATAATAAATAAAATTAAATAATTCTTTTATCTAAAAGAACTGTTTTATGTGTTTAATTTTATTATTATTTTTTTAAGTATACCAGAGAAAGGCAGAGAGAGAAAGGGAAAGTGAGAAAGCAAGCTGTCAGGTTCGGGACTCGAACCATGGTCAGACATGTGGGAGTCCAGCACCTTACCCAGTACACCATAATTCTTTTTTTTTAATGAAAAAAGAACATTTGAATTTCTGAGCCTTCTGTGGAGATGTCTTGCTCTTGACTGGTAGATTGAAGCGAATAGATTTTAACTGTTCCAAGAGAACAGTTATCAGTGTCATGTGACTCCTATTAGCAGCTCACCTGCTCTTCATTGTCTCCCTCCCAGCTCCCGGCGGTGGCTGAGTTCTCCACCAGCGAGACCATGGGCCACTCTGCGGACCGCCTGGCTGCCGCCTTTGCAATCTCTAGGCTGGAACAGGATGAGTACGCGCTGCGTTCTCACAGTCTGGCCAAGAAGGCGCAGGATGAAGGCTTCCTTTCTGATGTCGTGCCCTTCAACGTTCCAGGTAAGACAGAATGCTTCGTGATCCTTACTAGGAAGTTCTGAATTATTTGAATTTCTCCTAAAACTCAAAAAACTCAAATGACTTTTCAGTAAATATGTTAGTTCTATTTCCACAATACTCATCCCTTATTCTTAAACGTGGACTCAAGTTTTGATTATGTGGTGATGGTAAGTAAACTTTTTTTAAAGTTTGTTCAAGTCTACTTTTAGATCTTCTTGATAATTTAATGTTTCAACATTTCTGATTCTTGTGACTTTTGTATAGAATAGCCAGACATGAATGTGTGCTTCAGGAAAAGAAGAAGCTCTTTTTTATTAAACCATTTAGATGATTTCTGAAATATCTTAAGACCTTAATTTAGGGTCCAGCAGGTGCCATGGTGGTTAAGGCACTAGACTCCCACATGGGGACCATGGTTTGAGTCCTAGACCTGGTGGCTTGCTTTCTCATTTTCTCTCTACCTCTGTCTCTCTGGTCAAATTTTTTAAAATAAATAATAATAGCAACTAAAATTAAATAAATAATTTTAAAAAGGAGTTTAGTTTAAAATTTGATATCTTTTTTCTTTTTTTTGGAGAGGTTTTTGCTATGGGGCGTATGCGCTCACCAGAAAGACAGAGAGACGCATTCCTAGGGGGAATGGCCACACCACAATCCCTTCCCCTCTGTTCTCCTCTCAGGATCTTGGGCATGCACGCACATGCGCCCGGCATGAGTTTAAGCCACCAGGTCTGGGACTCGAACCGTGGTTGATTATGTGGGAGTCCAGTGACATAGCCATTATGCCAACTGCTGGTCCCAAAATTTGATATCTTTGTAACTATAAAAGGCTTCCTTCTAATAAGTAGGTAAGGTTTACATTTCATTTTTCTCTATAAATTTTAAATCATATTTCTCTGAAAAAGATATATGATACTTGGAATTCCTTAAAGTTAAAAGGTGTTTGTTTTTGTAGGAAAAGATACAGTTACCAAAGACAATGGCATCCGTCCTTCCTCACTGGAGCAGATGGCCAAACTAAAGCCAGCCTTCGTCAAGCCCTACGGCACAGTGACAGCTGCAAATTCGTCTTTCCTGGTAGTTATCCATACTTTTTGTGTTTATATTTCTGTACTCTCAGTGGAAAAGTCTAAAAAAGGTTTATTAGTATGCAGACAAAGCTTAAAAATATAATTCTGGGGACCAGCAGTTAGTGTAATGGCTTTGTCACTGGACTCCCATGTAATCAACCATGGTTCAAGTCCCGGACCTGGTGGCTTAAATTCACGCCGGGCACATGTGCATGTGTGCCCAAGATCCCGAGAGGAGAATGGAGGAGAAGGGATTGTGGTGTGGCCGTTCCCCCAGGGGGTGATTTCTCACTTTCTTTCTCTCTGTCTCTGTCTTCCTGGCGAGTGCACGCACCCTATAGCAAAAAAAAAAAAAAGGGTGTGTGTGTGTGTGTGTATATATATATTTATATTTATATTTTTGGAGGGGACAACAGATGGTGTAATGGTTACATTGCTGCATTCCCACATAGTCAACCTTGGTTCGAGTTCAAGGAGTCCTGGACCTGGCAGCTTAAAACTGAGGGTGTGTGCGCGTGGAAGCCCAGAATCTTGAGAGAATGGAGGAGAAGGGATTGTGGTGTGGCCGTTCCCCCAGGGGGTGATTTCTCACTTTCTGTTTTTCTGTCTCTCCAGTGAGTGCACCTGCCCTCTAGCATAAATCTCTCTCTAAAAAAATAGTAATATAGTTCTGGGGCTAGTAGTGGTTAAGGCACTGGATTCCCAAATGACCAATTGTGGTTCAAGTCCCAGCCCTGGTGACTTGCTTTCTCACTCTCCACCCCTCTGGTGAGCGAGCGCATATTCCCTTTAGCAAAGTTAAAAAAAATAATGAATTAAATTAAATAAATAATTCTTTTTAAAAAATAGGTTCTGGGCTGGCTCTGGTTCAGAGAGCCAGATCCCACATGGCTGACCACGGTTCAAATCCTGACCCTAGTGGCTTGAAAAACACACCAGGGGACCAGCAGATAGTGTGACAGTTATGTCACTGGACTCTCATGTAGTTGACCGTGGTTCAAGTGAGTGAGTGAGAGAGTGTGTGTGTGTGTGTCCAAAATCCCAAGAGGAGAATAGAGGAGAAGGGATTGTGGTGTGGCCATCCCCCTAATAAGAGCAAGAAATTACCCCCAGGGGGGATGGCCATGCCACAATCCCTTCTCCTCCATTCTCTTCTTGGGATCTTGGACATGCATGCACACGCACCCGGCATGAGTTTAAACCACCGGGTCTGGGACTCAAACCATGGTCGACTACATGGGAGTCCAGCGACATAGCCATGATGCTAACTGCTGGTCCCAAAGAGAAAAAAATTTTAAAAAGCACACTGGGAACATGTGGGTGCATGCCCCCAAAATCCCAACAGGATGGAGAAGTGATTACAGTAAACCATGCCCATAGGAGGATGATTTCTTTGTCTCTCTCTGATGAGCATACATCTCTCTGGCAGTTAAAAAGAAAGAGAAAGAAATATACCTCTTTATTACAAAGATAATGTTAACATAGAATATTAAGAGTTAGCAGGTGGTATGGTAGTTAAGGTGCTGGTCCCATATGGCCAACTTTGCAGTTCAAATCCTGAATCCTGCAGCTTAAAAAACACACCAGGTGGGGAACCAGCAGTTACCGTAATGGCTATGTTGCTGGACTCCCACATAGTTGACCGCGGTTCATGTCCTGGACCTGGTGGCTTAAAACTCACGCCGGGCGCGTGTGCGTGCATGCCCAAGATCCCGAGAGGAGAATGGAGGAGAGGGGATTGCGGCATGACCATTCCCCCGGGGGGTGATTTCTTGCTTTCTGACTCTATGTCTGTCTCTGTCTGGCGAGCGCACGCGCCCTATAGCGAAAACCTCTCTTAAAAAAACACACCAGGTGCATGCCCAAAATCCAGAGAAGAGAATGGAGGAAAGGGGATTGTGGTGTTTTATAAACTATACCGAGTAGTTTTCTTTCAGATTCTAGATTTGAGGGGAGGGAGGGCTCTTTTCAGTTTGCTATTGGGTACGTGTGCTTGCCAGAGAGAGAAAAGAAAAAAGAGAAAAAGAAAGTCTTAAATCACCCCTTCCAGGGGAGATGGCCATGCCAAAGTCCCTTCTTTATCGTCTAAATGGCATTGTGGGCACACATGCACACGTGCCAGTGTGTTCTCAGACTGTTGGGTGTGAGACTTGAACTGCACAGCTGGCCGTGTAGGATCCAGCTGTCTTAACCGCCATGCTACCTCCTGGCGCAGAGATCTTTCATTTTTAGAGTAAGTAAAGGGCGTTTTTTTCTAGTGTTACCTTATGGTCCCTCAACCTCTCAGTTGTCACTTGGGAAAAAACTTGTTCTCAGCTGCCGTGTTGCTTTTCCTGTTGGTTTGCTTGTTACAAATCTATAGAAGAAAATACTTGGAAACTACAGGTAGGAAGTAGCTGAGAAACAGCCTCCAAAAGTAAAAGTAAATAAATGAATGGGTAAGAATTTGTTTTAATTCATAAAATTCCTCATATTCTATGCCCAAAGCAAAAAACTTTGGCTTAAGTTTGTTATGAATACATGTTTCTGGTTACTGTTTTGCTTTATCCATTTTGATAATTATTATACTTTTTCAGCTTTTTGTTAAAAATTTTCTATTAAAGGGGGGCCAGCAGGTGGCATAGAGGTTAAGGCGCTAGACTCTGACATGGCTGACTATGATTCAAGTCTTAGACCCGAAGGCTTGAAATTCATGCCAGATGTGTGTGTATGTGTGCTCATGCCCAAACTTCTAAGAGGAGAATGGAGGAAAAGGGATTGTAGTGTGGCCATTCCCCCAGGGGGATGATTGCTCACTTTCCCTCTCTGTCCAGCGAGTACATGCATCCTATAGCAAATATCTCTCTTTCAAAAAATTGTTTTTAATTAAAGGTTACTTTTAAGTAAGAGAGACAGCACCTCCTGGTGCTGCAGTCCATTCCCAGTCTCAGCTGGCTCCAACTCTGGGCACACACAGGTGCCTGGCACACTCAGGGAGGTCTCTGCCAGTGAACCAGCAACTTCCCGTGTGAGTCTGCCCTTCAGAGCCACCTCTGGCCTCAACTATTACGCTTTTTTAAGAGAGATTTTTGCTATGGGGCACAGCTTACCAGAGAGACTGAGAGAAAGTGAGAAATCGCCCCCTGGGGGATGGCGGGATGGCCATGCCACAGTCCCTTCTCCTCCATTCTCTTCTCAGGATTTTGGGGATACGTGCACACACACCTGGCGTGAGTTTCAAGCCGCTGGGTCCAGAACCTGAATTGCAGTCGACTATGTGGGAGTCCAGTGATGTAACCATTACGCCATCTGCTGGTCCCAATTATTACACTTTTTCAATAGTCTCTTCTACCCTCATCCTTCAAAACCTAGTGTAAGTTCAAGTTGTGTTTTAATGAGGGATACCAGTACCTAAGTATCGTTACATAGAGTAAGTGTAGTGCGGATAATGCGCTGGTATTCAGTTAGTAGAACCGGACATGGAGGCTGGCTGTCCAGGGCTGGCCCCCTAGCACAGCAGTTAAGCACTGTGCAGAGGGGGCCGGGTCCCACATGGCTGACTGCAGTTTGAATTTCAGCCCTGGTGTCATGTACACATGTGCCCAGGATCCTGATGGGATGGGGATACTGAGGAAAATGAGATTGTGGCATGAGCAGACCCCACTGGGCTGTTTTTTTTCTCTCTCTCCCTTCTCATCTCTTCCTCAATCTCTCTCATGTGCACATGTCCACACCTCTGGCATTAAAAATTTAAAGTTTAAAAAAGAAATAAATAGACCAGCAGATAGCCTAGTGGTTACGTTGCTGGACTCCCACGTAGTCAACCACAGTTCAGGTCCTGGACCCAGCAGCTTAAAATTCACACTGGGGCTGGAACCAGCGGCTGGTGTAATGTTTACATAAGCTGGACTCCCACATAGTTGACCGTGGCTTCAGTCCCAGACCCAGCGGCTTAAAACTCATGCTGGGTGCATTTGGTTATGTGCCCCAAATCCCAAGAGATTAGAGGAAAAGGGATTGCAGTGCGGCTATCCCCCGGGGGGGTGATTTCTTGCTTTCTATCTGTCTCTCTTTGTGTCTCTGGCGAGCCCTATGGCAAAAATCTCTCTCACACACACAAAAATCTCACACTGGACACAGGTGCATGCGTGCCCAAAATCCTAAGAGGAGACTGGAGGAGAAAGGATTGCAGCATGGCCATTCCCTTTCGGGGGTGATTTCTGTCTGTCTGTCTCTCTCTCTCTTTCTCTCTCTCTCTCTCTCTCTCTCTCTCTCTGGTGAGCACACACACCCTATAGCAAAAATCTCTCAAAAATAAATAAATGAACTTTAAAAATGACTGCAAAAAGACTTCCAGTTAGACTAAAGAAGTTACATTATTGTCCTGGTTAACATTTCAGACTGATGGTGCATCGGCAATGCTGATCATGGCAGAGGAGAAAGCCCTGGCCATGGGTTATAAGCCAAAGGCGTATCTGAGGTAAAAGCGTTCAGGTGATTTGCCTCTGGTTTCTTTACTTGATAGCTGGAGCTAACCTCTCTGTTTTTTACCTAGGGATTTTGTGTATGTATCTCAGGATCCGAAAGATCAACTTTTACTCGGGTAGGTAACAGTCTGTGTCCTGGTACTATAGCCAGAAGTATTTGAACATTTATTCCAAATGTTTTAAAGTCCATTAAGCCCTGGGTTTTTTGTTTTGTTTTAGAGGTTTTAGCCATAGTGTATGTATGCTCACCAGAGAGAGACAGAGACAGAGACAGAGACACGAGAAAGAAAGTGAGAAATGACCCCCCCAGGGGAGATGGCCGTGCCACAGTCCCTTCTCCTCTATTCTTCTGGGGTCTTGGGCACACACACATGTGACTGGCATGATTTTTCAAGCCACTGGGTCCAGGATTTGAACCACAGTCAGCCATGGGAGTCCAGTGACATAACCACTACACCATCTGCTGACCCCAAGCCCTTGTTTTTATAATATTTTTTTCTGGTGGAGTTTTTAAAATAATAGTTCTTTGTATGTTGGTGTATCATATTGTAGTTTTTTATTTGTTTTTTATTTTCCACTTTTTCCTGTATATTTTGACTTGTGATTATTATACAATACATAACTTTGTATTCTTTTTTATGAAGTTATCCTAAGGATTTTTTAATACTGCTACATACCGATGACTAGGGATCTTCAAAAAATTACGAAAAATGTATTTTTTGAAAAGCTGCATGCATTTCCTTTTTGTTTTTTTGCCCTGAAATAAACTTGTATTTTAATTCCATTTTTCCACAAACCGTTGGAAGTCCCTTCATATCTTCATAACAGCTTTTTACCAAAGCTGCCTAACACTGCCCTACCTTACCTCGCCGCCCCAAGGCTCCTGCCTCACTGGCCTCCTGTGACTCTCACCCTGGCCAACCCCATTCCCGTGCCTTGTCCTGTAAACTCTTGGCCCCGCCGTTCACGTTATCAACTTGCCCTGACTGCTCACTGTCTCCTTGTCGATGATCAGTTCCTCTGAGTCTATAGTATAAATTGAATAAAGGCGAGGGAGCATCGGTACAGTTGACTGTCCTTTCCCCAACACTTAGTATTTGCACAGTATTCTCTCCTTCCGTGAGTGAGAGACGATCAGAAAGCCTATATAAAACTCAATTTGGGGAATATGAAGAAGCTCTTAGATTAAAAGTTAAAGTTTTAAGATACTTTTTATTTTTTCTTTTCAGACCAACATACGGTACTCCAAAAGTTCTAGAAAAGGCAGGATTAACCATGAATGATATTGATGTTTTTGAATTTCACGAAGCTTTCTCAGTAAGTCATTTGCAAGACACATTCGGAAACGATATAGTCATAATGCATGTTTGTGGGGAGGAGGCATGCTTTGTAATGAGTGAAACAGGATGGAGCTTTAGATCTCAGTAGTGATACTCATTGCTGGGAGGTCAGAGGGCGGGGAGTGAATACCACCTTGAGGCTTTTCAAGGTCCTTCAAAAATACCAAATTGTTTCTCCAGGAAATTTTCACTGAAAACTGATTCAAAGATTTGTCTAACTTTAAAGTTCCACAAACCCTTGCCCCAAAGAAAGCCTAGAGGGACGGTAATAACAAGGTTCTTACTGACTTATTTTCCCTTTCTAGGGTCAGATCTTGGCTAATTTTAAAGCCATGGATTCTGACTGGTTTGCACAGAACTACATGAACAGAAAAACCAAGGTAAGTTTCTAATAAAATTTTCATAAATTTCCAGAATGCTTTATTTGGAGCTTAGTGACCTGCTAATAAGCAAATGAAGGGGAAATCTTCTCCCTACAAAGAATTTTGTGTTTCATTAAATAATAAAGATTCTTAGTTTAAAAATAGTACCAGGAAATTCTTTAGGCAAAATAAAAGTAAAATTGTGTTGTCTTTTGTTCTCGTCCTTTTGAAATATTGACCCCAGCCTTTCACAGTAGTTAATTGCGATGTCGAAGTTAGTCTTCCCCTCTCTCTTATTTCCCATTACTAAGAGCCGGTTCGAGTCCTAAGTAAACCTGTCTTCATGCTCTTGTCTTCATTTCTGGGAGCCAGGTTGGAGCGCCTCCTCTGGACAAGTTCAATAACTGGGGCGGATCACTGTCCCTGGGACACCCGTTTGGAGCCACTGGCTGCCGGTTGGTCATGGCCGCAGCCCACAGATTACGGAAGGAAGGAGGCCAGTATGGCTTAGTGGCTGCCTGTGCGGCTGGAGGACAGGTACGTCCCAGGATCTTCATAGGATCTTCTGGAAAATCATTTTCTTGGAAACAAAACAAGCTCATCACTAGAATATTTGATTTAGATTGATTTGAAACATTTTGTTTTCATTTTTAAGAAAAAAGGGAGCCCCCACACCCCCACCTCCCAGCCTTCCCAGGCAGTCAGGAGCATGGGCTCATGAGCCTGCGTTTACAGGTCAGCTGGGGAGCCACACCTGCCTCTCCATTGGATTCTACATCACTTTAGCCATGCTTTACTCGTGCCCCACCCCCGCAGCCTGCAGAAACACACTTAACAGCAGTTTTCATACAGACAGCCAGAGAAAAGGCAGTCTGTTTGGGGAAGGGAAGTAACAGCTTTAATTCTGATAATACTTTGGGAGTAAGATGCTATTTAAATCTAAGATTTTTTTATACCTTTTTTAAAAAAATAAATAAAAACAACATTTATTTACTTATTGTTTGTTGTGATTTTCAAGCTGCTGGGTCTGGGACTCAAACCACAGTTAGCCATGTGGGAACCTAGCACTTCAACCACCACACCACCTGCTGGCCCCTATTTTTATTCTAACATAATCTTTATTTTTAAATTTTTTTTGAGAGGTTTTTGCTATAGGGCGTGTGTGCTCACCAGAAAGACAGAGAGACAGAGAGACAGAAAGCAAGAAATCACCCCCCAGGGGGGATGGCCACACTGCAATCCCTTCTCCTCCATTCTCCTCTCGGGATCTTGGGCACGCTCCCTCCCCACAACACACACACCCCTGGCGTGAGTTTCAAGCCGCTGGGTCCGGGACTCAAACTGCGGTTGACTACATGGGAGTCTAGCAGCATAGCTATTATGCTAACTGCTAGTCCCATGTAATCTTTATTTTGAAAGTAAAGTTATGGGGGCTTTTTATGAAAATTATGGAAAATGCAAAAATACATAGAAAAAAACTGAATCACCTAAAATCCTTCACCAGACACTCATTTTTTTAAAGAATTATATTTAATTTTATTCATCATTATTATTTTTCAATTTGACCAGAGGTGACAGAAAGAGAGAGAGAAAAAGTGAGAAAGCAAGCTGCCAGGTCTAGGACTTCAACTGCAGTCGGCCATGTGGGTGGGAGTCCAGTACTTTAACTACCGTGATACATTTTCTTCTTCTTTTTTTTAAGAGATTTTTGCTTATAGAGTGCATGCACTCACCCAAGAGACAGAAAGCAAGAAGTCAATGCCCCAGGGAAGGTGACCATGCCACAATCCCTTCTCTGCTAGGGATTTGGGGCATGCACGCACAAACTCCTTCCCACGATCAACCCCACCCCTACACAAACCTATCGCCTGGTGTGAATATTAAGCCGCCGGGTCTGGGTCTTGAACTGCAGTCAACTATGTGGTAGTCCAGTGATGTTACCATTACGCCATCTGCTGGTCCCCATTTTGTTCTTTAATAACAAAATTTTATTTATATAATCACCATGAGCACTTATCTATAAAATCTCTCCAAGAGGTAAACTTTCTTTTCTTTTTCTTTTCATTTGCCATAGGGCGCACACACTTGCCAGAGGAAAAAGGGGGAGTTGAATGGGGGGTGGGGGGAGCGCTCCTTATCTCTCTCTCCAGCGCCTGCTAGGGAGAAGCTCTTACACAACTCTGTGCATGGTGTGCAGCCCTCATGATTTGAGTGTGTATTCCCTCATTTTGTATCCAGAGCACAACACAGTACTGGATGCTTTTGTGGATAAACTAATAACAAGTACCTTTCTTCTAGAAGTTTGAGTGACGAGGGACACAGTCATACATCGCAGATGCTGGGTTAATCTTGGCTGTGTTCCATCAAGAGCTGTGTGAGTGGTACTGGCGTGATGAGATTAGAGAGAAGGCGCCACACTTATGGCTCTAGGGTAGGGTCTCAGCTTGGTGCTGTTAGCATTTGGACTGGGTAATTCCTCGTCGTGAAGGCTGTGCTGTGCGTTCCAAGATGTGTAGCATGGCCTGTACCCACAGACGGCAGTAGCAGCAAACCCGTTCTCATGCTCAAACCGCCCCCCCATACACAAAACGCCTCCAGATATCACCCATGTCCTCTAAGGAAAGGGGCTAAATTGCCCCTCGTTGAGAATCGTGGAGCTAGAGCAGGAAAAACAAACGTGGAGCATAGAGGGAGTGCGTTTGAAACAAAGCTGTAGAAGTGTTCTCTAAAGTGCTTCTAGGATAACCCCAGAGTCAGTCCAACTTCCCATTCCTGCACTTTTTTGTTTGCATGTGCCTCTTCAAAATATGGCTATGTCGCTGGACTCCCATGTAGTCGGCCGCGGTCTGAGTCCCGGACCCAGTTGCTTAAACTCACATTGGGCGCGTGTGCGTGTGTGCCCAAGATCCCGAGAATAGAATGGAGGAGAAGGGATTGTGGCATGGCCATCCACCCTGGGGAGTGATTTCTCACTTTCTGTCTCCCTGTCTCTTTCTGTCTTTCTGGCTAGCGCACATTCCCTATAGCAAAAACCTCTAAAAAGAATAATAATAATAAAGAAAATTTGAGACCAGCAGTTAGCATAATGGCTGTGTCACTGGACTCCCATGTAGTCGGCGACGGTTCAACTCCTGGACCCAGTAGCTAAACTCACACTGGGCGCGTGTGCGTGCGTGCCCAAGACCCCAAGAGGACAATGGAGGAGAAAGGATTGTGGCGTGGCCTTCCCCCCTGCGGGGTGATTTCTCACACGTACCCTATAGCAAAAACCTTCAAAAAAAAAAAAAAGATAATTTAAGTTTGTTTTGAGCTGCAGTGTTATACTTGGGTTGTCAGAAGAGTCATGATGTATTTTTCTTTGCAAAACTGCATCATGACTTTTCTGACGATCCAGTAGATTGAGGGCAGAGACCATGTAGCAAATCTTTAAACCCACACAATGTCCCAACTTGGCACCCTATAAATATTAGTTTCTTGGGACTGGCTCTGTGGCTAGTGGTTAACAGTGCTGGATCCCACATGGCTGACAGCAGTTTGAATTTCTCCCATAAAGTGGGACTCAAAGTGCCTACTTCAAAGAGTTTTCATGAACATTAAATTCTATAGCATACTGTGTGTGTGTGGGGGGGGGGTAAATAGACTCTAGAACAGAGCCTCATCCCTAGTAGATGCTCTATAGATGGTTGTTATTAAAATGAGAAATCACAGAGGCTTTTTTTAGTTGTACAAAAACAAACATGATAGAGTATACACTTAACTAACTTTCCCCAGATCCACAATGATTGAGTGGTGAAGCCAGGATTGAATTCTATTTTTTATTTTATTTTTTAAATTATTTTTAAATTTAACTTTATTAATTTCAGTTTGACCAGAGAGGGACAGAGAGAAAGAGAGCGAGAGAGAGAGAGTGAAAAAGCAAGCTGCCAGGTTCAAGACTCGAACCACGGTGGGCCATGTGGGAGTGTAGCACCCTTAACCACCACACCACCTGCCAGCTCCAGGATCGAATTCTGAAACCTGTACTTTTCTTGTTCTCTACTGACTTCATACTAGTTGATTTCCTTACCTTTCATGCTCTAATTGAACCTTTTTTCTTTTACAGGGCCACGCCATGATAGTGGAAACATATCCGAAATAATTGATCCAGACGAGGTGACCTGAAGTTTCTGTGCAACACTCGCACTAGGCAATGCCATTTCAATGCATTACTAAACGACATCGATAGTTCTAGCCCCCTTAGGAAAACAACTCCTGTGGCCTTCTGTTAAATACTTTGCAATTAAGCCTTGCCAGTGTTTGAGCTTTCCAGTAATGACAGCTTACTGCTCTTTCAGGGATTTCTAAGTCACCAGAATCTCAGACAGGTTGACGTGGTGGTTTTGGTCTGTTGTCAATCAAGACTAAATGAATGGTTGCAGTTTAGGAAAGAGGTTAACTGAGATTTGGATTCAATTTTTGTAGCATTTGCAAATTATACTTGTTCCTGTCTGTGTCCTGAAGATAAGTATTTTCTATATAATATAAACCAATGTGCCTAACCTAACTAAATGATGGAAAAATAACTCAGAAGCTAAACATCACTGAAAACTTGTAATGAATGTTTGAATACGTGAGTGCCGTGTTGGCCAACCTTAATAAAGTGGAGGGGGACTGGAGAACTGTTTGCCTTATTTGTGTGGTAGGGGGAGAGTGGTTCTCTCGGTTTAGGGGCAGATGCTTTTTATTATTCCTTTGTAACTTCTAACCATTTTAGTCAACCATGAAGTTGCTGGGACATAAAAAGGGTCTTGATTTAGAATATAACGTTTTTTTTTTTCATTGTTTCATTGAGATAAATTTATTTGACTATTGGCACATGCTTCTGTTTGCAAGGATTTAAATGAAATGTAAAAAAGTATTTTATTTTGATCAAGTACTGTAAATCCTCCCAGGTTTTTGATGGTCGTACTTCACTTAATAACATGTATGCTTTGAAGAGGCAGAAGGCTCGGTCGTGGCCATGTGTGTGAATGTGGCCTAGGTCTGAACGTGACTGGCTGTCAGAATCACCAATCACAAGATAGGAGCTTGTACCCACTGCTGGTGGGGATGCAGATTAGTACAGACTCTTTGGAAACCAGTGTGGCATTACCTTGCACATTTGCATACGGCATGAGTCTGTGACCTTGCTTTTCTGCTAATAGGAATATTCCCTAAAGAAAATTGCACTTGGGCCCAGGAAGTACATACAATACTAATCACAGCAGCATGACACTTAAAATAGAATATTTTATGTTCATTGACAGGAAAAGTTCAAAATCACACAATACTAAGTATTATAAAAATAGTTTGGAAAACAGTTTAGAGAACAAGAACAGAAAAGAATTGCAAATTATATATGTAGCTATTCCCTGCACCAAGAGGTGGAAAATTCCCTTCCCTCTGGCATGTAGACTAGACTTAGTGACTTGACTCCAGCGAATAGAGTGTGAAGGTTAACATCAGTGCTGTCATGTGGATATCACATATCTCCTGATAGGATGAAATCTAAGGGACACTCCACTACGGTGACAGTCTTGCCTAATACTCATATCCCACTTGAATGATGAGAGACCATCGGGAAAACCTAAATTAAAGTACATTCCGCAAAATACTGGACTAGCACTCACAACTGTCAAGGGCATGGAAAGGAAGTATTAAGACACTGTTCTAGGGACCAGCAGGTGGCGTGGTGGTTAAGGCACTAGACATTCCCACATGGCAGACCACAGTTTGAGTCCTGGACCTGGTGGCTTGCTTTCTCAGGGGAAGGATGTTATGACCATCCTCATGGGGGTCATACACTCTCTAGCATTAAAAAAGAAAAAGAAAAAAACACATGCCCATTCCAGTTATATAAGATTAATAAATCCAGAAATCTCACAGCATGAGGACCACAAATAATAATACTGTATTTGTATGCTGGCGATTTGCTAGAAAAGTAGATTTCAGGGCAGGCTCCATGGCCTGGTGGTTAGGGCCACTGGATCCCACATGTCCAACCACAGTTCGAATCCCAGACCTAGCGGCTTGAGAAGCACATTGAACGTGTGTGTGTGTGTGTGTGTGTTTCAAAAATCCCATCAGAGTGGAAAGGTGGAGGAGAGGGTTGCAGCATGACTACTCATCATGGGGGTGTTTTCCTCTCTTGCACTCTCTCTTGCTCTGCCTCTAACAAGCACACACCCTCTAGCAAAAAAACAAAAAGTAGATTTTAGGTGCTCTTACTGCCCCCTACTCCCCCCAAAAAAAGAAGAATTGAGTACACGTGTGAAATGGCTATGTCTGTCCGACTTTCCTAATCATTTCACTGTATATATTTCAGAACAGCACGTTGTTATGCCAGCAGGTGGTGTGGTGGTTCAGGTGTTAAATCCCACAGAGCCAACTGTGGTTCAGGTCCTAGACACTGTGGCTTGAAAATCACTCTAGGTGCGTGCTTACGTGTGTGTGTGTGTGTGTGTTCGCGCGCGCGCGCACGTATGCACAAGATTCTGAAAGAATGGAGGAGGAGGGGCTTGGCCATCTCGCTGGGGAGTGGCTTCTTGCTTTGTCTCTCTGGTGAGTGCGTGCACCGTATGACAAAAATCTAAAACAATAAAAATCACGTATACCTTAAATATAAATAAAAACACTCATTGTAAGAAGCCACAACACACACACACACATAAGAGACAGTAGAAATAATGGAAAAGGAAACCACTGTGAAGAGGTTTTTTTGTTTGTTTTTGTTTTTAGTATTTGCTATAGGGCACATGTGCTCACCAGAGAGAGATGGAGAGCGAGAAGGGGGAAAGCAAGTAATATCCCCCTACCCCCAAGAGGGTGGCCATGCCACAGTCTGTCCTCCATCTACACCCCGCAGCCCTTTCTCCTCCTCTTGGGATTTTGGGCATGCACGCAGGTGTGATTTTCAAGCCTCCAGGTCTGGGACTGAAACCATGGTCCCGCATGTGGGAGTCCAGTGCCTTAACCACTACACCACCTGCTGGCCCCAGCATATTCATTTTTAACAGAAAACATTCACATTTCATTTTATAAAACTATTCATGCATAGGGGCCGGCAGGTGGCATGGTGGTTAAGGGCACTGGACTCCCACATGCCAGACCATAGTTTGAGTCCTGGACCTGGAGATTTGCTTTCTCACTTTTCCTCTCTCTCTCTCTCTCTCTCTCTCTCTCTCATTCTGTCCCTCTCTGGTCAAATTAAATAAGCAAATCAATAAAATTCAATAAAATAATTCTTAAAAAAAAAATCCTATCCATGCATTGTATTGTTAACAGAGGCTGATTTATTGGATTTCTTTTTTTTAGTTTTTAAAAATTCTAGTATCCTTTCATCATCTTGTGAAATTCGTTAGTTAATTCAGCCAGACGTCTTGGTGTCTTCAAGAAACTTTTCTTTTAAATCTTCTCTATTTCTAGTCTTCGCTTGATCCTGCCATTTGTAAATGTCAATGTTTATCATCTTTTCTTCATTTTTAACAGTCACTGGTACTTTTGCCTCTACGTAAAAATGTTATGTTCTGACAAAAAAGCTCACATCAGTCTTTGTATACATGCATATGTCTATAGAACTTGTATATTGTGTTTTTTAAAGGCTTAAGAAAAAGGAACCAATTCACATTTTCCCAAATTGTGAAAAGAAACAAGTGAAATTCTGGGTATTCATCTTTAATGTTTGGCAGGGCAGAGGTTCCTCTCGATTAAGTTGTCTTTTCTTCGTAACTATCAAAAAGGAATAATCAGAAATCAGTGAATACTAAAAATAAAGCCATTTTTTATCCAATATATCTGTAAAGGTACTGTTGCTTAAAAACTGGCTGAGATACTTTTGCTTGTAATTGTTTTGAACTTTGAAATCTGTTGATTCACAGCACCGGCCGGCTTTTCCAGACGAGGCTCTAGCCAGTGTTTCCTTGGTCTTGCTGGGGTACTTTGGGGTGGGACAGGTCGGCTACAAGAGAACTGAGGATGACTAAGGGGAAGACAGGCCTGCCTCTCCCAAGGGCGGAGCTCCAGGGAGAGGGACAGGCTGCGTGTTGGGCCCCCACCTGGTGAATTAAGCACACGCCCTCCACTTCCCCCGCTGGAGCATGGCTCCCTTTGTGGTCCATTTGAAGCTGTCTTCCCTGTGCAAGAGCTGTCTCCACACCCGGGCTGGGATTGGACCCCTGGTATAACCTCTGCAGGCTGGCCTCACCTCCAACACCAAGCCCACTAGTGGCAATTCCTCCAGTGCAAGGGTTTTTCGGGATAATAAAAAATTTGATAGCTTGAAAAGAAATGTTCAGGGTCCAGCCAGTGGCATGGTGGTTAAGGCAGCTGGATCCCACGTGGCAGCACTGTTCGAGTCCTGGACCCTGTGGCTTGAAAAACATGCCAGGCACTTGTGGAACCAAAGTCCCAAAAGGAGAATGAAGGAGAAAGGATTATGGCATGGCCGTGCTCCCTGGAGGGCACTTTCTCTCCAGTGAGCTCACATACCCTAAAGCACATTTTTTAAAATCTTTTTTTCAGGGGCTGGCAGGTGGCATGGTGGTTAAGGGTGCTGGACTCCCACATGGTCGACTGTGGTTCAAGTCCCGGACCTGGTGGCTTGCTTTCTCTTTCTCTCGCTCTGTCCCTCTCTGGTCAAATTAAAATGAATAGAAAGGGAGTCAGCAGGTGGTGTAGTGATAGAGGGTGCTGGACTCCCACATGGTTGACCATGGTTCAAGTCCTGGACCTGGTGGCTTGCTTTCTCACTTTCCCTCTCTCTCTGGTCCTCTTTGGTCAAATAAAAATAAATAAAACAATTAAAGTTTGAAAAATTCTTTTAAAAAATTAAGGAAGATAGGAAAGAGA